TTTTCTTCCCTCCAATTCTCCCCATCCCAAGTTGTACATATTATTTCCTACATATTGTCTTGTAAATATAACTGTTGCACATATTTATCTTAATAAGATGTTTTAAAGTTCGATTTTCCAGAGATTATATCATTTACTGTCCCACCAGCAATTGTTGAAGTTTTGGTGACTTAATATTGCCAATGGCATTTGAATATTCTCAGCCTTTATAAGTTTAGCTTTTTTTTGAGGATGTTTGATGATACATAATGATGCTTTTAATTTGCGTTTCTCGTGACTAACCATATAAGCCATGAAGATAATTTCATAGGTTTTTCTTTTCTTCTTTTTTTTTAGGGGGGGGGTCAGTTGTGGGGCTTGAACTCTGGGCTTGGGCACTACCTCAGCTCTTCGGCTCAAGGCAAGCACTCTATCACTTGAGCCACAGCGTCACTTCTGGTTTTCTAGTGGTTTATTGGAGATAAGAGTCTCACGGACTTTCCTGCCTAGGCTGGCTTTGAACTGTGATCCTCGGATCTCAGCCGTCTGAGTAGCTAGGATTACAGGCATGAGCCACCCGCACCCGACTTCCTAGATTTTTCTTATAAGAGCTTTATGGTTTTATTTTTTAAATGTTGGCCTATTATCCATCTTGAATAAACTTCTATGCATTGTGTATGATGGAGGCCATAGTTTTTGTTTCTATATTAGCATATGCAGTGGTTCCAATTCAACCTACAGAAACAAATTCGAGTAGGTTTTGAAATCTGACTAAAACTACTCAGGAGAGTCCAGCATTTAGGATTGTGTGTGTGTGTGTGTGTGTGTGTGTGTGTGTGTGTGTGTGTGTGTGGTGTGTGTATAAGCATTGTTTGATAACTTAGCTAAATAGAATGTTAATTTCATGTTAAGATTTTATTGTAGCCACTCATTTTTTTCCCTTCTTTTTAAACAAAGCTGATGAGGAAGAGAGCCAGTCAGCTCCTCCCTCTCCCAGCTCTGCCCAGAGCAAGCTGCACACCGGCCAAATCAGCTAACTAGCCAGACCTGGCTGAAACTCTTGCCCCAATCTCCAAGCCTAGAGGGAGAATAAGCACTGGTATTGCAGCCCCTAAAGGTCCTGCACTGACATTTTCATAGGGAGCTAAGGAGCTATCAGTAAAACAGCTGCTTCTTCCAATGGTCATCAGTGACAGACCCTGCCATGACTGTTTTAAACATTTCCCAATCGCTCCAGGACACTTTTTCTCAGCCGCATATACCCCAAAGAAGCTATGGTCCAACTGCAGATGCTTCAGAGAGAACTAGTCCAGCCCTGGAAGCTCAGCAGCTGTCGTGGTCATCGTGTCCATCGGCTTTGCTCAGGAGCCCCTAGTGCTATCAGCCTTTCTGACTATACTGCTGTGACTACAGGAGATGTCACCTTCGCTGGGAACAACTCCAAGTGACTAGTAGATGACAAACGGTAGCTGTAGCTGATCCCTCGCTCCCTCCTCACCCACCCCCCTCCCCAGTGCAGCTGGCTTTGATCACAAAGTTCTTCATTCCAACCTGGAGCACCGCTGCCCCAAGGTGGCTAGTGTGTTGCCGCTGTAAGTGACGATATAAAGGGCATTCTTTATGGTCTTCTCAGATCAGCTGCGGCGGAGATAGCCCTAGTGAACGACCCAGTATTAAGCCCCAATAAAAACGTCTTCTGAATGGTCACTTATTGGCTACTTGTGGTGTTTATCACAAGTAGAACAGACAGACCTAGTTTAGGATGTGAAGCAAATTTCCGGGACAGTGGAGAAAAGGCAACTTGAAGAGTTTTGAAATGTGACCAGGTACAGAAACTGCAGACAGCGGAGACTGGGAAAGGCAAAAGGCCTTAAGAGCCAAGACTGAGAAAGCAATAAGTCCTGATGCTTGGAAGACTTTCTGAAAGCCTCAGATTTATTGAAAGTGAGTAAGAGCCGAGGGCCCTGCCCTTGGAATTGGAAGCTATGACACGAGAAGCTGGGTACTAGAGCACTGGTACTAGGTCTCCAATAGCCTTTGCCTTTGGAAGTTCAGGATCCTAAGTTTCTGGGTCTCAAGGCTTAGGTCTGGAAGCCTGTGTGGGCTTTGATAGCCAAAGGCTGAGGGCTGCCATCATTAAGGGAGCTGTTCTCTGTCTATTTTTATCTATTTCCATCCAAATTGAGCAAAAACCAACCAACCAACCAAAAAACAAACAAAATCTCAAGTATTTGTCACAAGTTCACCATCCGGGCTTCTACCTGTTCTTTTATTTCTATTATCTTGAAGTAGTTGTACAAAGAGATTTCAATTCAATATGTCTATTTGTAAGTACAATACATCTTGATGGCTAACTATTCTTAAACCATTATCACACTGACTTTTCTTCGGCATTTCACTGTATGCTTTGGAAATATTTTTTTTCCTTTTTTTATTATTATTGTGAAAATACCATACAGAGGGGTTACAATTACATGGGCAAGATAGTGAGTACATTTCTTATCAAGCATTGTTGCCTCCTCCTTTGTTTCCCCTTCCAATCCCTTCGCATCCTCTCCTACCCCCCACCCCCCACCTTCCACCCCGCCAAAGTTGTGAAGTTCCTTTCTCGACATAATATCTTATACATCTCAATGTTGTAATGGGTCCACCTGTAACCCTATTTAAAAAATTCGTTTTTTTTTCCTTCTCCTCCAAAAATTATACCAACATCAACTACAGTAAAATCAGGGCTTATACCATGAGGGAGGTACATACAAAGCAACAAAGAAATCATCTTATAAATATGTTAAAAACAATCGCAAGGAAAAGAAACTTTTGAATCCTCATCTTGGGGTTCATTTCCGCCTAACATCAACTTGTCTGACAGTTTCTGTTTGTCACAGACATAAACTAGTTATTGCAAATAAAGGAAACCATGGGACCTATATTTCTTTGAGCCTAGCTTACTTCACTTAATATAGTTTGTTCCAAGTCTTTCCATTTCCTAACAATGTCATTCTTTCTGATGGAGGCATAGAATTCCATTGTGTATATATCCCACATTTTCTTGATCCATTCACCTACTGAGGGGCATTAGGGTTGGTTCCATATCTTAGCTATGGTAAATAATGCTGCAATAAACATAGTTGTACTGGTAGCTTTACTATGGTCTTGTTTGTGATCATTTGGGTAAATGCCCAAAAGTGGGATTGCTGGGTCATAGGGGATGTACAATTTTCTCATATTGCATTCATAGTTAAGATTATACTACTCTGTGTAAAGTGTAGGAACCTTTCAGCAATAAGTTATCTTGTATGTTATTATTCTTACAAATATTATATATTAAATTATCTATATATTGTGTATATATCTTACCTCCATATTTTGTAGTTCTCACAATATTCTTCATTATTTATTCCTTAAGTTATGATATTAAAGGAAATTTAAAATTATATTTAAATGTTTTTTCACTAACTCTTACATACAATAAACCACACATTTAAAAAGTTAGGTTGGTTACATTTTTTTCATTTGTATATAACCAGTAAACCGTTAAAACAATCAAGGTAATGAACATGTCCATTATTTTAATAAAGTTTCTTTAAAATTCTGTCTCATACTTGATGATATTTCATTAGAACAACTGCTCTGCTTTCTGATAAGATTCGACTGAAATGTTCATTTTATACATGGAATCTTACAATATTTAGTATCTTCCCAGGCTTCACAATGAGCTGAATTATTTTAGCATTCATCTATGCTACTGCAAATATCAGTAGTTCATTCCTGTAGTTCATTGGTACTCCTAAAAGCAACTGCAAATGTGAATTTAAGTTTTTTTGAGTTTTCAATGTATTACAAAAAATGAAACTATGAATATTCAGGTAGAAGTCTCTGGATGTCCATTACTTTGTGGATTATATATCTGTACACATATCAGTGGAATGTCTGAATAGTATGCTTGTGTGTATTTAATGGGTTAAGAAACTATCAAGCTAGTTTTTCCAAGTCATACCATTTCACATTCTTTACAGCAGCATATGAAGTTCTAGTAGCTCTGTATTATCCCTCATATTTTTATCTCAATGTTAGATATTCTAATGGTTGTATAATGATATCTCATTTAATTTGCAAGTCTTAATGACTAATCATTAGTATTAATGTGTTTATTAACCATCTGGTTTTAGTATAGTAATGAATTCTTTATTCAAATAGTTAACACATTTTATATTTTAAATTTTTTCCTAGATTTGCTTCTTGAATTTTGAGAGTGATTTTATTATGATAAAAGTTCTGTCAAATAGCTGCTTTCAAAATGTTTCTTCAAAGATCTTTAATTTCCTAATCTGTTATACTAACAGCATTTCAAATAGTAGAATTTCTCAATTTTGATGAAGTATAATTTACTTGAAACTTTCAACTATTTTTTTTTAGTATTTGACAGAGCTGGTAACATAATTTCTCCATGCTTTCTTTTATGTTACTGTTTCAGATTTTACATTTAGGTTAAAATTCCATTTTTAGTTCACATTTATTTTATAAAACTCTAAATCTTTAGGCATATGGAGATTTATTTTCCCAGCATCCTTTGTTAAAATGCTAACTTCATTTACTAAATTTATTTTGTTGTTGTTGAAAATCAATACAAGTAACCTGTACCTCAGGATCAATTTTGAGGCTTTTCCTCTGTTCAATTGATCTCATTGTCTTGATGCCACTTCTGTTCTGTCATTATTCATGTAGCTTTAATACATCTAGAATTCAGACAGTACATTTTATCCAAACTTGTTCTTTTTTAAAGCCTATCTACTGTTACTTGCAGACTTAAATTATCTGCATTTTTTGGCCAATTAGACTTGATGAAAATGATCAATTTTATCTATCTTCTCATGCAATAGATTTAGAATATCATTAAATTTATTTATTTTTAAATTTTGCTGGCTTCTAAGCTCTTTTAAATTGTTTCTTCAGTGGAGTTGGCTTCCAACCATTCTGCTTTTTTGTTTTATTTTCTTTGAGTAGTTGTACAAAGGGGTTTCAAAAATTATAGACCACTTTCTTACATTTTCATTGATCATTGGTCAGGAGTCATGCTCATCTTCTCTAGGTCATTCTCAATTTTAGTATATGTGCTGCCAAAGCAACCACTTTCCTTAGATTCTTAAAGAGATGTAAAAATATGATTAGGGAACCCTTAATGTAAGGATTGTTGCTTTCATAACCCACCTCTAATCACTTCTTTGACAGCATTTTTATCCCCTCTTTTCTGACCTCATACTACGCATGCATCTATCAATGTCTGGCTAATCTTTTGCAAAACTCTGAATTCTGTGTGCATGCCCTCACACACACACATTTCATCTTAGTGGTTGCCCCATGATATTCAGTTTCATGGGCCTCCTCTAAGCTCTTAGATCCAATCAGAGAGACTACAGAACTCTGCTCAAGTTACTTTTGCCACATACAGACTGGAAGCAATTGTGTAGCTTGTATCATTCCTTTACTGTCTTTCAAGATCCAATTTCCCTTGCTGACATAACATTGTTTCAATTATTTTACCTGGTTTAGATTTTCAGATAAAGTAAAGCTGGTGGATTTTGCTCTGTCTCATATGGAGAAAAGTTGATATTTTCTTTCTACTGACATTTTATAGTTTCATACATTAGTGTATATTCAGGTTAACACTATTATTCTAATCTACCCTGAAATACTTCTTTTAATATTCTAAATATAAGTCTGAATGCAAAACATTTTTTTGAATTCTTGATTTGCTTAAAATGCCTCCCTTTTTCTCTTCCTATTTGGCAGATACATTTTCAGACAAGGCATTTAAATTTAATACTGTTTTATCAGTACAGAAGGTATTGTTTTCTGTCATCCTCAATGAGCAGACAGCAGTAACTTTCTGTTACTATGTGTGGTGTCTGTCATTTGTCTTTGAGTCTTTTAAGTATTCTACATTGTCTCTGGAAACCTACAAGTTTAAAAATGTCATAGGATATCAAAGCTCATATATATATACATATATATACATGTATATATATATATATATACATGTATATATATGTATATATATATGTATATATATATGCTTCTGTTATGTTATCTCTACCTTCCTATGGGATTTCAAGCATACAAATGTAGAATTATAAGTCTACTAAGAGTTAATAATTTTAATTGTTCTATATTCAGTTTACTCATTTTTTTCAGCAATATCTATCTTACCAATTTCATATAATGATTTTTCATCTGTTAGTGTACTTTTAGATTTCAGTGTTTTGATTTGTTCTTTTTTATGGTTGTTAATCTCTTGATATCCCATTTACACTTTGTCATTTTTTTCTTTATGTAACTGAGTGGATTTTAACAATGACTTTAAAGTCCTAAATTGCTAATTTCAGCATTGTGATAAGAGACTATTTCACTTGTTGTTAACTGAATTTCTTTCTCTATGTTTAAGTACTATCTTTAACTTCAATATTTGATTACTTTTGCTTTGTCATCATATATACACATACATATACAGACACTAAATTGTAGTTTTAGTATCAAATGTCTTCAAATCTCAATCTTCCTATCTCAATCTCCTGGGTATATTGAACCACTGGTAGTTGGTTAATAACAAATCATCTAGAGTGTAAATTGGCTATACAACTCTTCCAATGATTAATTTTTATTTTGTCTGAGAAAGAATTTTATTTTTTATTTACCTTTGTTGATTTAATCATTTTTTCATTTGTGACAGGGTCTTTTACATAGCCCAGGTTTGCCTTAGCCATGTTCCTGCTTTAGCCCTCAAGGTGGAGGAATTATTTGACCGAACTCAACTTGTATTTCAAATTAGTACATGGATACTGAAATCTTCATGAAAATATTTCATCTTCAGTTGCTACATTTTTTTATGATTTGCCCAGACTTCACTTTTTCTCCTGTTTCTTCTTTTTTTAATAAGTATTTTATTTTATTGTGAAAATACTGTACAGAGGGGTTACAATTACATGAGCAAGGTAATGAGGACATTTATCATCCAGTATTGTTGCCTCCTCCTTTGTTTTCCCTAGAAAATTACCCATAGTAAGTGAAGTAAGCCAGGCCCAAAGAAACATAGGTCCCATGGTTTCCCTTATTTGTAATATCTAGTATATGTATGAGTCAAGCGGAAAAGGTCAGATAATGTGATGTTAGGAAAATGAACCCTTAGATATGTATTTTAATGTTTTTTCTTTCATGCATTTGTTTCTAACGCATTTATAAGATTATCTCTTTGTTGCTTTGCATGTCCCTCCCCCACAGTATAACCCCTGCTTTCGCTATATTTGATGTCAGTATAACTTGTGGAGGAGATGGGGAAAAACAAGTCGTTTAAGGATACAGGTGGACCTGTTGCAACAATGAGAAGTACAAGTTGTCATGTCGAAAAGGAGCTTTACAACCTTGGTGGGGGGGGGGGGGGGGGAGGATTGTGGGGGGGGGGTGGGGGGGAGGCTGGGAAGGGATGTGAAGGGTAAACAAAAGAAGAGGCTGCAATGCTTGATAAGAAATGTACTCATTATCTTGCCCATGTAATTATAACCCCTGTGTACAGTATGTTCACAAAAAAAAATAAAAGAAAATAAAAAAAAGAAAATTACCCATAGATTTTTCAGTTTTTCCAGTCAAAATCTCAAATGTTTGTCACCTTTAGATAATAAGGTTTTGGCTTTCTATTTCTATTTTAAGAATGGTTCAGGTATAATTGGTGGAGGGGAAGGGAAAAAAACAAATCATTAAAACAAGGATACAGGTGGACCCATTGCAACAATGAGATGTACAAGTCATTATGTCGAAAAACGAACTTTACAACTTTGGTTGGAGGGAGGAGGGAAGGAGAATGGGGGGGGGGGCGAGGGGGAGGATGGGAAGGGATGGGAAGGGGAAACAAAGGAGGAGGCTACAATGCTTGATAAGAAATGTACTCATTATCTTGCCCATGTAATTGTAACCCCTCTGTACAGTATTTTCACAATAAAAAAAAGAATAGTTCAATGTGTGGGGAGGGGTTGGCGTTGGGTAGGTGGTATAAGCATTCTCATTTGGCTTGGCTGGTTAATTTTAGGTAAGATTTTTCTCAGATTTGTCTGCCCAGGCTGGTCCTGAACTTGCCTCCTCAGATGTGAACCTTCTGAGTAGCTAGGATTGCAGGCATGAGCCACTATCCTTGGTCACCTATTCCAGTTTCCATGTAAAAGCTGACATCTTTTCAGTTCCCACTAAAAAGCATCACTCTAATTATTTTTCTGTCTACATGTAGATAAGCTATATTTACACATAAATTTATATATTTGCATATGTACACATATATAATGAATTTTATTTCTAAGAATAATACTAAAATATTGAAACACTACAGTGCATATATATACACACATATATATATTTGGAAACAAAGTATAGTGTATACGTGTGTTTCTTTCTGTGATAGATTATTTTAACAAAGAGCAAAAACGTGTATTTCATAAACCTAGTCTCACATGTTTATTTCCATATGGACTATTCCATATAATATTTTTAAATAAGTAGGGTAATAGTAAGCATAAATAACTATCCTGATTTTTTTTCAGTTGTCGGGCTTGAATTCTGGGCCTAGGCTCTGTACCTAAGCTCTTCAGCTCGAGGGGAGCACTCTACCACTTGAGCCACAGCACCACTTCTGATTTTCTGGTGGTTTATTGGAGATAATAGTGTCATGGACTTTCCTGCTTTGACCTGCAATCCTCAGATCTGATCACCTGAGTAGCTAGGATTACAAGCGTGAGCCACCCGCGCCCGGCTCTGATTTGTCTTTAATCACAAAAAATTAATTCCTTGTCTCTGAAATCTTTAAGTACCCTTATTTTATGAAGATAAAACTTAATGTTATATGAAATGTTTTAGAATCAGGTAAAATAACACAGTCAGGTTTGTGAGACTTTACTTTGAAAAACTTTTACATACTACATGGATTTTTATAAATCTACCTTCAATTTGGAAATGTTTTCATATAGAATGGAAAATTTTCCACCTCTTTGTTCAAAGAATGCCATTTGCTTTTTAAATAGTTTTACCTAGTGTTGACTTTCTCTAGAAATCTTTTCAAAACTATCTCAATCTCACCATAAGCTGAATTTGTATTACCTTGTTCATGATCTCTTAAGAAAGTTCCCCATTTACCTCATGGAATTTATTATGCTATGTTAAATAGCTGATTTAAGTTATCTACTTTACAAACTGACTGTAGATTCATTGATGAGAGACATTCATGCATTTACTTGGAAATAATACCCATCACTTACCATAATATCTTTCCAAATATCTTTCAGAAATTGGATTGAATTTATTCAGTGAAATTAAACTCCTCTCATGATTTTATGAGAAAGACTTAGTTGAATAAATGACATTTTAAATTAATTTAATAAATGATCATTTTTTTTTACTTATCTAATGATTTCTTCATATGTTTTGCTTGGGACATTGCATGGTAAATAACTTGCTTTTGATTAGTCTTCATTTTAAAAATGCTGAAGCACTTAAAATACAATTTGTCATAGTTTTAGCTTAGTTCAGGTTTTACTTCTTTCTAATGGAATTGGTATAAAATAATGAAATCTACCCACACAGATTTATTTTTGATTGAAAGTGAATTGCATCCTACTCAGTGCAATCTGTCCACATGTTTATTTCCTTGAAGATAAATGGGTATTCATAAGAACTATTTAGTTCTTAAAAACTATTTAACCATTCCTTTCATGTATTCTTCACTTCCTACCAATATCCAGAATTACCAAGAGTAATTCTAATATATTTATTGTAGTTTGTATTTTAATTGAAATTCTTTCTTTCAGTCTTGAAAATTTTCCTTAAGAGTACAAAATATATAATATATGATACCAACTATTTAGAAAGCATGAATATATTTCTGATACTGCTCATAGAAGATCAACCAGCAGTTATAATCATAACCCAGCATTGTAGCTGAATATTTGTTGCTGTTATTTCTTCCAAAGATTTTATATATCATCAGTTAAAAGATAAAAATGTTTTTACTAACAATTAAACCCATATAATTAATGTTGAGAATTAATTTTTCCCAGATAAGGAAGAACATTTGTTATCTGGAAGAAAAATA